TGTGTGTGTGTGTGTGTGTAATTATCTATGTGTAGTTACAGGATGAGAGTTACGCTCTTGGTATCCCATCTTCCTAGAACTCTTTGCCATATAACGCTTTTATACTACTGATGGTTTTGGCATCCACCACCTTCTCACCTAACTTGTTCCAACCGTCTACCACTCTGCAAAAGACAATTTTCTAGTATTTTCTCGGCACCTCTGTTTTCTTAGTTTGAGTCTGTGTCCTCTTGTTCGTGAAGCTGCTGGTTTCAGGAATTCCTCTTTGTCAATTTGATCTATTCCAAGTAGTATTTTGTAAGTTGTGATCATATCACCTCTTTTTCGTTTATCTTCTAATTTTGGCATGTTTAACGCCTCTAGTCTCTCCTCGTAACTGTTGTTTTTTAGTTCGGGAAGCCATTTTGTAGCATGTTGTTGTACCTTTTCCAGTTTCTTTATGTGCTTCTTGAGATTTGGGCACCATACAACAGCTGCATATTCCAATTTTGGTCTCACAAAAGTCATGAACAGTTTCTTTAGTATCTCACCAGCCATATAATTAAAAGCAAGTCTGAAGTTGGAAAGTGACACATACGCTCTTTATGTGTTCCTCTGGTGACAGCTTACTACTATCCTAAACTACCCAAAGGTTTCTTTCTTTATTTGAGTTCTGTAATTTCTTTCCACATTATTTGTAAGTTGTTTGTGGTCTATTTTTTCCGATTGCACATTCTATAACATGGCATTTATTCTTATTGAATTCAATTTACCACTTGACGCTCCAAGCACTTATTTGTTCTGGATCAATTTGAAGGGCATTACAATCGTCTGCGTCTCATATCTTCCCCAATATCTTTGCATCATCCGCAAACATGCTCTTATTATTCTGTATTCCCTCTGGTAAATCGTTTATGTATTCGATGAACATTACTGGTGCAAGAACTGAATCCTGTGGTACTCCACTAGTAACACTCCTCCAGTCAGATACATTGTCTAAGTTGTCCCATTGGCTGCGGGATCCAAGTAAATTCAGTAGAATTTCTGGTTGCAATTCTTATACCATGTCGTAGCTCAGTCGATTAAGGCAGCGTCTGGGATGCTCTCGGCCGCAGGTTCGAATCCTCGTCACGGCCCTTGTGGATTTCTTCATTTGATACATCACGCTCTTGTGATTTTTGTGTGTTATTGTCCAGTCAGTCCCAATATAAGGCAATAATTTGTGTAAATACACTATCATAAATTAAAACGCAACCTATAGAACATTACGTTCAGTTTTGAGCTCATTGTGTCCCTCCTGTAACCTTTTTTACTCGCAGGAAGGGCATATGGGGTTCACAAGCACACACAAGATTATAATGGGGTGAGGCAACCTACCTGGTCGCATCTGGACGCGACCAAGAGATGGCAGCACCAGGAGACACATTTTAGGGAAGACTCACCTTCCCTAACGCAGAGGTCGTCGTCGCCGTACCTGCCAAAACTGTGATGAATTTCAAAATATACCTGGAAAAGATCATCAAGGCAAATGGGGGGGGGGAGGGACCTTCGACAAGCCGCCGGCTTCCTGTCTTCATCGAGGCCCCCAGGGTTAGTGGTCGTCGGGTAAAAATGAGGTAAATCAGGTGGGTGGCAGTCCCGTGGTTTACCTGCACTTACTAACTCATGGCGACCTTGGCTAGCTATGTGAAGCCGAGAGGGAAGACGTGCTGGCCTGGTGCCCTCCTCCTCGCCTTGCCCTCCTGCAGGGTTAGCGGGGTGAACCACACTCCCGGCGCTCATGACGGAGCACACACGGGATAGTGTGCTGGTGGCCTTGCCCTCTCCCCCCCTAACCCCCCTTCACCATCACAACAAGGAGAACAATCCAGTGGCTATTCTCAGCCGCTAGTTAGCTGGTCTAATAACTCCCAAGACCTTCGATTGAGCTAGGGCGGAGGCCAGCGGTGGTCACCTTGCACTCCTGCTCATCATTTTAGGATTAGTGTTTCAGGTGGTTGGTGTTGACACACACACGGAGGGTAAGTGTTTTATTTGACTCTTGTTGTTGTTGACACACACGGAGAATAAGGGTTTTATTTGACTTGTTTGTGTTGGCGGACACGGAGGGTTAGTGTTTTAATTGTTAAATGTTAACAAATTCTAAATAGCGCAGCACTGGTAACGGCCGATAGTGTTTTTATGTATGAAAACGTGATTTTAAATAGCTTAAAATAATATCAGATCAATAATGGAGCTTCAGGTACATTTACATTTTTGCGCTAGCTCGTTTTTACATTTACATCTAGTTTTCTAAGGGGTTCGTCGTAAAATTTTCCAGGGATTCCTCGTCCAGTTTTGAGGCTCTGAAAGCTGCTCTTTATTGAGCCACGAACAAATTAGTCTCAACATATTTTGCAATTACTCAGTGCAACATTGTGATGGCGGTGATGGACGTTGTCAATGATGAGGCGCATAGCAGGACCTGTGAGGATTGTGTGTCGCTAAAACAGACGCCAGTCGCGTCCTTCACAACACTTCTCGCCAACATTTTAAAACCTAACTTCGTAAACCAAGCTAACCGAGCCTAACACAACTTAAGCTAATACATCCTAACCTAGCGATGGCCTTAAGAACCTGAAAACGAGCTTTGTGGACCCCGCCATGTGTACATTTTGGCCATATCCCGCTAAAACCAATATTTCCTCGGTGTATTTGTGGGGTAGCATTGCCGCGTGTGTCAAGAGAGCTCTTAAGCGGGGGTCTTGCCGGCGAAGCTTTGAGGCGGTCAACTGACAAGACCTTGTATGTTTGCACTGTCTTGTTTTGTCTTTGGATTGGAATATTTTCTCACTTACACTTGCCGCGTAATATTGCTTCCTGGTGCAGACAATTACGAAATTAAAGTGATGGTGACACAAGAGCAAACGTAACAAGGTTAGTGGTAATTACCATAGGTGGTGCGGCGAGATGCAGCATCACTTGTTAACATCCTTGAGTGTACTGTAAACAATCTTACCTTTTGTTTATACCCGCGACCCGGGGTTGGCCTCCGCGCTCTCCTGTCTTCCCACCCATTGTTTTCCCTTTGGTCCTAAACGATCACTGTATTGTATAAGCGGATGTAATTTATTTTATATACAGCTGTTTATTTGGCATTTAAATAGTGTGTGTGTGTTCTCACCTAGTTGTGCTTACGGGGGTTGAGCTCTGGCTCTTTGGTCCCGCCTCTCAACCGTCAATCAACAGGTGTACAGATTCCTGAGCCTATTGGGCTCTATCATATCTACACTTGAAACTGTGTATGGAGTCAGCCTCCACCACATCACTTCCTAATGCATTCCATTTGTCAACCACTCTGACACTAAAAAAGTTCTTTCTAATATCTCTGTGGCTCATTTGGGCACTCAGTTTCCACCTGTGTCCCCTTGTGCGTGTGCCCCTTGTGTTAAATAGCCTGTCTTTATCTACCCTATCAATTCCCTTGAGAATCTTGAATGTGGTGATCATGTCCCCCCTAACTCTTCTGTCTTCCAGCGAAGTGAGGTTCAATTCCCGCAGTCTTTCCTCGTAGCTCATACCTCTCAGCTCGGGTACTAGTCTGGTGGCAAATCTTTGAACCTTTTCCAGTTTAGTCTTATCCTTGACTAGATATGGACTCCATGCTGGGGCTGCATACTCCAGGATTGGCCTGACATATGTGGTATACAAAGTTCTGAATGATTCTTTACACAAATTTCTGAATGCCGTTCGTATGTTGGCCAGCCTGGCATATGCCGCTGATGTTATCCGCTTGATATGTGCTGCAGGAGACAGGTGTGTGTGTGTGTGTGTGTGTGTGTGTGTGTGTGTGTGTGTGTGTGTGTGTGTGTGTGTGTGTGTGTGTGTGTGTGTGAGTGTGAGTGAGTGTGTGAGTATATTTAATGAATTGTTTATGTTTGAAATATGAAAAAATTGTTTTTTAATGAATTAATGAATTCGGGCAGCGTTTCTGCCCGAAACGCTGCGCGTGCTAGTGGCTTTACAAGACTGTAATTACCATAATTGTATCCTCACATTCCTTATGTACATTCTTGTATATGCATAAATAAAAAAAAATAAATAAATAAAATTATAAGCACACATAAAGAGGGAGGCAGTTAATAATGAACAGAACATAAATATTAACAGTATATATTGGTGAAGACCTTGGAGTACAAAAGTAGTGTGAACATTGCACTAGCAGCGTGAACAAACACACGCACCACGTGTTATTAAACATATAGTTTCTAGATAACTGAAATGGATTAACTAACATGAATTTAAATTAATTTAAATTTTGCCCCGAGGGGCGAGTTTATTGGGCAGCGCCACTCATCTTGTGAATGGACATACCGCCATAGCAGCATGTACAACACTCCCCAATAGGAAGAAAACCCGCTGGGTTGTTCATCCTGTCACTTGTACCCAGACACAGCTGGGACTTGCTTAACTGTCTCAAGTGAACAGCTCCTCAAACAAGAAGATTAACATTCAGATTCAGATTCAGATGTTTATTCAGGTAAGGTATATACATACAAGTGATGTTACATTAATGGATTGATATATAGATAGAGCTAGTACATACAATGCCTAAAGCCACTATTACGCAATGCGTTTCGGGCAAGAAACATCTATCAACCCTTAAAATCTTACGTTATCTTGCGGGTGCAAAATGGGGAAATCTTTTAAGAAGAGCATCAATAGTTGACAACTAGTGTTTTCCTAACTCAAACAATGTGGGGTTTATTACTTGTCCAGACATTCTAAATTTGATGTTGTTTTCAAGATGAAGTTAGAGTAATAAGTCTAACCTATAGATTACATGTAAGATACAGCATACGGTTACAATTCCCAGGGATATTTTCAAACAAAATAAAATAAATCATGCATCCTATAATATGACTACTGAGAAAAATAATGGTACTTTAAATTATACGAAAGAAGCAAACATTTGTGCTAAATATCATTTTATAAACTGTACTCGTCATTAGTTACACTTCAGCAGGCTTATGAAATTATGATATGCAGCGTCGGTGGGTGAAGGGGGGGGGGGTGGAACCCCATTTCAGTCTTAAATGGGTACGTACCGCTTAGCCAGGAATGGGCCCAAAACCTCCATTCCTCGCTAAGCGGTCTCCCCCCATTACTCCCATGCTCTCTTGTTATCACTGAGAACCACTTCATGGTCTCTTGTTATCACTGAGAACCACTCCATGGTCTCTTGTTATCGGGAGAGGCTGTGTTGGGAAAGCCAGCGAGGGTTTTTTTTTTTGTATTACCACAGACGTGGCCAACATTTATAATGCTGACCCACATATATACATTTTTTCTGTCCTCTGTGGACAGGGTTCGAGAATTATTTAAGATATAGTTCAGTGATTTATTGAATAATGAGCCATAGAAGGTGATTGTAATGCTTTTAAAATGCTAATCAAACCTACATACATAAATACTTAGTTGCATATGTCTCTCCTTCATAAACATTGTTTGAGGTATGTTTATTACATAATTAAATGTGAGTTTACAAAGGTGAAATGCAATTCTGACCAGCTACTCCAACAGCCTGTTGGAGTAGTTACTGAGGTAGTCTTGGTACCAGGGGCTCTCGTCTCTTAAGTGTTGCATGAAGAAGTTGCGCATGCGCCACCAAAGATCTACCTGCGCCTTACATGTAAACTGCGCCTGTCCTCCCCAGTTCATCATGAGACCTTTGGAGAAGCGTTTGTGCTGGTCGTGATCAGGAAAATGACGCTGGAATGATTGTTGGATGAGAGGGCCGTAGGGAGGCTCAATCATGTGTCCGGTGCCAGGGTAGAGCACCGTCTGGAAGTTGCTCCTGTTGTGGTGTAGCATCCGCTCCCGGAAGACCGCCAGGCTCTTGCCGAAGCCAAAGGCGTCGTCCTCCCCGGCCACCACCAAGAAGTGCGTCTCGTCGTCAGCCTCCTCGACTGGTATCATGGCAGGATTATCATTGTCAAATAAAAACGAGAAATCCAACGAGTACGCCCCGTGCTCATTCATCTGCATCATTTCGACTGGCGGATTGATTCCTTGTTTGTATAGTTGTCCTTTGTACGTTAAGCGGGAGCTCATCGCCATGGTGCAGGAGCTTATACCTACTACGGCCTTGACGGAAGGGAAGAGCGTGCCCATTGTGAACACGATGTCGCCACTCTTGCTGACGCCCACGGCCCCGCACCGGTCTGGGATCACTTGGGGCTGGGCGAGCAGCAGCTGCACCGCCTCCTCAAAGTACTCCATGTCGAGGTTGTCTGTAGTGGTGGGCAGGTCGTCGTACGCGAACACTGCCAGGGCCAGGCTGGCCAACCCACGTGATGCTAGCATGGCTGTCCCCGTGAGAACACACACACACGCACATTATTCTCATTTCACTCATTTTCAACAATTAAATGATTTGGCTATAATTGTCTGCCTTTTTTATATTATCTCTATAATTCTGTTAATAAATGAAACAATATTTGATCATTAATGTTCTGATTTTTGCGTTATACTGATACATTATATGACTTAATTATATTAAGCTCCGCATAGTTATACCCTTGAATTTAATCAAATGATACTTGACACAAACACTTCGTTCACGCGAGAAACTAAAATGTGAGACCAGGTGGAGATAACAATACCTTACGCACATGGGGGGAGGAAGACGTTCTCTCCTCACATGCAACATTACCCATTAAATGCTCTTCTGGCAAACATTTATACAACCTCTTAACATTGATACACATTCACAGTTGCACTGTCCCATGCAGTCACGTTCACACAGACGCTCTCCACTACAGATACACGTTCACATATACACTCGCCACTACAGATACACGTTCACATATACACTCGCCACTACAGATACACGTTCACATATACACTCGCCACTACAGATACACGTTCACATATACACTCGCCACTACAGATACACGTTCACAGAAACTGGAAACTGAGCTTTACTGATGTATAGAGAAACCAAGTTGTGTGCGTACCTGACCTGAATTCCATGAGTCCACCGACGGAGCCGAACATGTCGACGATACCAGGGAAGGGTCCGTCGCCTGGGGGCAGGTAGAGGGCCCCCCGCACCCGACCTTCCCTCACAGGCACCCGCCTCACCCCGGGTGCCATCAGGTGCCGCTCCAGCTCCACCTCTGCTACCGCCTCCGTTCGCGCCTCCAGCGGCTGGTGGCCCTCACTCACCGTTACGCGAACCTTAGACACATAACCAAACTGGTGGCACGGGGGACTGGTCATGGGCTCAACATAATCATTTTTGAAATGCATTAGTTCAGATACCAACGGGCTCATACCTTAGCCGATGGGGTGTTTATTAACGTTATAATGGTTTAGTGTCACAAAAAGATGGTTTGTCAACAAGCCATTTAGTTCCTGTTGACATCAGAGTCCTGCAGGTGAGCTGTGTGGTCAATGTTACTTTAAACCTGGCCAGCCCACCAACCTGCAAATGTAAACTTTCAGAGGCTCTGCAAATTCTAACTAATTCATATATATATATATATATATATATATATATATATATATATATATATATATATATATATATATATATATATATATATATATATATATATATATATATATATATATATATATATATATATATATATATATATATATATATCGGTCGGCCGAGCGGACAGCACGCTGGACTTGTGATCCTGTGGTCCTGGGTTCGATCCCAGGCGCCGGCGAGAAACAATGGGCAGAGTTTCTTTCACCCTATGCCCCTGTTACCTAGCAGTAAAATAGGTACCTGGGTGTTAGTCAGCTGTCACGGGCTGCTTCCTGGGGGTGGAGGCCTGGTCGAGGACCGGGCCGCGGGGACACTAAAAGCCCCGAAATCATCTCAAGATAACCTCAAGATATATATATATATATATATATATATATATATGTATGTCGTACCTAGTAGCCAGAATGCACTTCTCGGCCTACTATGCAAGGCCCGATTTGCCTAATAAGCCAAGTTTTCCCGAATTAATATATTTTCTCTAATTTTTTTCTTATGAAATGATAAAGCTACCCATTTCATTATGTATGAGGTCAATTTTTTTTATTGGAGTTAAAATTAACGTAGATATATGACCGAACCTAACCAACCCTACCTAACCTAACCTAACCTATCTTTATAGGTTAGGTTAGGTTAGGTAGCCGAAAAAGTTAGGTTAGGTTAGGTTAGGTAGTCGAAAAACAATTAATTCATGAAAACTTGGCTTATTAGGCAAATTGGGCCTTGCATAGTAGGCTGAGAAGTGCATTCTGGCTACTAGGTAACACACACACATATATATATATTTCAGTTGTATATAGTCCTGGGGACCATTCAGGCTTGTTTGCATATATATATATATATATATATATATATATATATATATATATATATATATATATATATATATATATATATATGTCGTACCTAATAGCCAGAACGCACTTCTCAGCCTACTATTCAAGGCCCGATTTGCCTAATAAGCCAAGTTTTCATGAATTAATGTTTTTTCGTCTACCTAACCTACCTAGCCTAACCTAACCTAGCTTTTTTTGGCTACCTAACCTAACCTTACCTATAAATATAGGTTAGGTTAGGTTAGGTATGGTTGGTTAGGTTCGGTCATATATCTACGTTAATTTTAACTCCAATAAAAAAAAATTGACCTCATACATAGAGAAAAGGGTTGCTTTATCATTTCATAAGAAAAAAATTATAGTAAATATATTAATTCAGGAAAACTTGGCTTATTAGGCAAATCGGGCCTTGAATAGTAGGCTGAGAAGTGAGTTCTGGCTACTAGGTACGACATATATATATATATATATATATATATAATATATATATATATATATATAGAACAGTGTTTTATATATATACACACGATTTTGGATTAAATTCCATCAATACCTGGAACTTTTGATTCTTTAATTTGTCAATGCCCTTTTTAATTGAATTGCATGTAATGGTAAAATCCCTCAATTCATTCTCTTCTCTTGTTTCAAACATATATATATATATATATATATATATATATATATATATATATATATATATATATATATATATATATATATATATATATATATATATATATATATATATATATGTTTGAAACAAGAGAAGAGAATGAATTGAGGGATTTTACCATTACATGCAATTCAATTAAAAAGGGCATTGACAAATTAAAGAATCAAAAGTTCCAGGTATTGATGGAATTTAATCCAAAATCGTGTGTATATATATAAAACACTGTTCTATATATATATATATATATATATATTATATATATATATATATATATATATATATATATATATATATATATATATATATATATATATATATATATATATATATATATATATATATATATATATAGGGGGGTACCACCACTGGTGTAATTATAGGGACCCACAGCCTCAGAGAAGGGAACACAGAGCACTCAGGGAAAAACTTGACATTTAACTCTGAATACGAAAGAGTGTTCACTTCTCCTACCACCCCCTTTTTTTTTTATTATGATGTACACTTTATTATGCAAGGTTATACAGTTACATATCTGATTTTATACAAAAAATGAACATTAAGAGGACACAAGAAAAAGTTCGCTTCCTAGAGGCTGTAGATTTCCTCGAACTCCTCCGACGCCGGGCAGGAACCGAGGATGCAGCGGGCATTTTGCAGCGTTTGCATATATATATATATATATATATATATATATATATATATATATATATATATATATATATATATATATATATATATATGCAAACAAGCCTGAATGGTCCCCAGGACTATATACAACTGAAATATATATATATGTGTGTGTGTTACCTAGTAGCCAGAATGCACTTCTCAGCCTACTATGCAAGGCCCAATTTGCCTAATAAGCCAAGTTTTCATGAATTAATTGTTTTTCGACTACCTAACCTAACCTAACCTAACTTTTTCGGCTACCTAACCTAACCTAACCTATAAAGATAGGTTAGGTTAGGTTAGGTAGGGTTGGTTAGGTTCGGTCATATATCTACGTTAATTTTAACTCCAATAAAAAAAATTGACCTCATACATAATGAAATGGGTAGCTTTATCATTTCATAAGAAAAAAATTAGAGAAAATATATTAATTCGGGAAAACTTGGCTTATTAGGCAAATCGGGCCTTGCATAGTAGGCCGAGAAGTGCATTCTGGCTACTAGGTACGACATACACACACATATATATATATATATATATATATATATATATATATATATATATATATATATATATATATATATATATATATATATTAGTATATTTTGGTAGCAGTCTTTCCTGTAGACATATATTATTAAATATGACCGAAAAAGTAAGATTAATAATTCTAACACGAATTTTCTCAATCTTTCGTACATTAACTATTAATACACCCTATTAATACTCCTGTTCTGTCTTGTGTTGATGAAATTAATACCCTATTAATACCACATTTTGTTCTGTCTTGTGTTAATGCCACATCACCCCTTCCACCTCACTCAAATGTAGATATAAAATCGGAGATACGTAAGTTCTATTCAGTTGTGTATTTGTGAACTAAAGTCTTTGAAAATGTAATAAGTTTTACGAAACGCGCCCGTGTCGCGTCAGACTAGAAATAAAAATGAATTTTGGAGAATTGATTTTTTATTTACCTCCAACAGTGAAGCGAAATGTACGAAAGATTGAGAAAATTCGTGTTAGAATTATTAATCTTACTTTTTCGGTCATATTTAATAATATATATATATATATATATATATATATATATATATATATATATATATATATATATATATATATATATATATATATATATATATATATATATATATATATATATATAGGTCTTGTGTGGGTATTGAGGATCCCATGGTGTTTATTTCGTCAATTCTAGTTGCAGTCGGGTCCTCTTTTATATATATATAGTATCACACCGCCTACTCGTGTTGTTCTGTCCTTTCTGAAAGGTAGATGGTATCTTTGAGGATGGAATTCCCCCGTCAATTACCTCTTCTCGTCCCCGTGTTTCACTGATCCCAGTGATGTCGGGGTTCTCAACCTCTGTATGTACACACATTTTGTGGGTGCGTGTATTTACTATTTGTGTGTGTAGAATCGAGCCATTAGCTCTTGGACCCCGCCTTTCGTGTCAGTGTCGGTGTCGGTGTGTGCCCGGAGGAGGACTGACCTTCCACGGGGTGTGTGTGTGGCGACGGTACAGTCTGAGGGCCGGGTGCTCGTGTGGCGCCGGCGCCAGGGTGGACAGCAGGCCCTCGGGGAAGACGCCGGTGTAAGCCCCGCCCACGCTGGCTGCCACGCCCACATCCACGCCCCCTTTGGCATCACTCGTGTAGTAGGCGTGTGAACAGAACTGTCAACACAACGAACAAGATTTAATAGTCAAGTATTTACAATTATTTGATGTCGAGAATTGTAGATTATTTTGTACGTTAAAGGATCACAATATTGAATAAAGAACAAACTGTTTTGCGTTATGAAGATATTTTATTCAAATCTAAATGGTTCAGCAAACTAAATCATTTGTTATTGTTATTAACAAGTTTAGTTACACTGTAGTGTGCTACCACACTGTTTTTTTTTTAATATTTTCTACCACATACGTGGCCGCACATTTACCATGCTAACCAGCATATATACATTTTCTTGTGTCCTCCATGGAGAGGGTTAGGAATCTGTTAAACATATAGTCACACTGTTCTATATGAGGGATTACAAAGTATAGATCATGAGCCAGCTATAAGTTCATCTAATATCCCCCCAGCTCACAGGATGGTTAGTCAGACGTGGAATGTGAGTCTAGTCTTCTAGCCAGAACTAGTAAACTTTGGGTAGAGTATTATAACATACAGTATGAGAATATCTTATACTATCCGTGAATGAATTAAATGGTTACAAAGTTCAAAGTATCTCATGCCATTTGGTCTAAAGTCAATGTTAAGAGGGCAGTCACACGGACCAACCAGGCTGTAGTGGATATGTAGGCCTGCAGGCCGCCCCAAGCAACAGGCTGTTGGACCAAGTTATCACAAGTCGAACCTGGCCTCAGGCCGGGCTTGGGGAGTAGAAGAAATCCCAGAACCATGTCCAGGTATGTTCCAGGTATAGTCCGTTAGGAGTGTCTCATCCCTTGTTGACATAGTTCGTTGGAGGAATCATTACCTGCAGCCACCTGCCATCAGTAACGATATCTCAGCCTAATTACGGGTCCTGAGACGCGGAGGTTATCTTGAGATGATTTCGGGGCTTAGCGTGCCCACGGCCCGGTCCTCGACCAGGCCTCCTTTCTGTGAGGTCAGCACAGTCGGGCCACAGCAGAAAGATCCCGCGCTCAGTTCCACCCGGCAGGTCAGAAGCATTTGAACAACGCTTCCCTTCACCTGATGCCTCTATTCACCTAGCAGTAAATAGGTACCCATGAACTAGACAACTGCTTTGAATTGCATCTTGGGCAACCAATTACAATATCACACTGGTGAATGTTTTGTGTTTGGCCGTACGTATATTTCCCAGATCTAAACATATTGGGTTATACTAGTACTGTTTGCTCCTTTGAGTGTCAGTGAATGTTCTTCTGTTAGCTCCTTTCTCTTGAAATATTGTGGTTTTGAAAATGAAGAACCCACTGTAGGTTATATCATCTCAGCAGAGCAAACTAAGATGCTAAATTGGCGTCCACCCAGGCAGGGTGGAGCTGTTCGCAAGATGCAACTATATGATGGCTATCTTGAGATGCTTTCGGGGCTTTTTTTTTTTTAGTGTCCCCGCGGCCCGGTCCTTGACCAGGCCTCCACCCCCAGGAAGCAGCCCGTGACAGCTGACTAACACCTAGGTACCTATTTTTACGGCTAGGTAACAGGGGCATATTGTGAAAGAAACTCTGCCCACTGTTTCTCGCCGGCGTCCAGGATCGAACTCGGGACCACAGGATCACAAGTCCAGTGTGCTGTCCGCTCAGCCGACCGGCTCCCCTCACTGCGTAAAAAGATTCAAATTTGTTGGTCTTGAGCTCCCACTATACGGTCATGTTGCAGTCAAACTCCGTCGTCAGTATAAAGTGAGGCTCAGAGTTATCAAGGCTGTGGCAGGGTGTCTCTCAAGCTATGGTGCCAATATCAGCATTCTTAAAAGGATGTACCTTCATTACACCAGATTTTGAGTTGATTATTATGCACATCTGCTTTCTTTAGTCCAAAGCTAATCGAATTTTTGGGTTCAGTTCCTGAGCTCATTATATGCCATGGTTACGACTTCCACTGCAGCCTACAGGATGGTTAATGGATAAATAAAAATGAACTAGACTGAAACACACATTCCATCCCCACCCCAAGGGAGCCCCAACCTACGTGGAAAGTGGAGAATGTGTTTACAGGCAGCTTATCACCTCCGCACTACTACATGTCTTATCATGTGTAATCTTCTGGCGAGTCTCTCAATTGACTGTATTGTGCCTACTAATCTTTGTCAAATTATCAATCAAGCTTATCAGTGCTATCAATTATATAACCTGAGCTTGTAAGAACATCTTAATCATCTTCAGAGGTTAAGTGCTTCGCCCACTAGTTTCTCTTATCAGCTATCTCATCACCCTGTCAGAGTAAAAGATACATATGTATGTGTATGTATGTGTGTATATATGTATGTGTGTATATGTATGTGTATATGTATATGTGTGTGCATGTATATGTATGTGTGGAAGCTGATCAGAATTACATTTCACCTTTGTAAATGCACATTAATGACACTATGTAAAAGACACATCGAACACTCTATGTAGGGCATACGTAAATCCGTGTAACTATGTATTTACGTATGTAGGTTAGCTTAGCATTTTAAAAGCACTCCCATCACTTTCTGTGGTCGATTGTTCAATAAATCCCTGAACTGTATGATTGACAAATCTCTCACCCTGTCCATGGAGGACAGAAGAAAATATATATATATGCTGATTAGCATTGTAAATGTGTGGCCACGTCTGTGGTAAATAATAATATAAAAAGGTGCTATCAATCAACACTATTAATGTGCTTTAATATACTAATCTCTCAAATTTTTCCTACAATGTACCTGTTAACATTTTATAAATTTTACAATAATTTACCTTCTTAATATTATATGTTAGATTAAGGACCTGCCGGAAACGCTGCGCGTACTAGTGGCTTTACAAGAATGTAAATACATCATGCAATGTACTCTCACGGACCCAATGTACCTTCTTGTATATATATTAATAAATGAATGAAGGACGATGGTTGGAAGTTAGTCTAAATTATATGAAGCGGTGATGACACGGCGAACAAGACTGTCGTGTGTACAGTGTACGGCACAGTGTACAGTACAGTGTACAGTGACAAAATGTGCACTGTTGAACCCAAAAGATTCGATTGTTTGTATATTATTAAGATCCTTTGAAAGAAGGCAAAACCATTTCTAAATTTTCCTAGGCTTTGTATAGTACATATCTATATATATATACTAAATTAGGCCTAAGAATATGTTTATCAAATCTAGGATTGCTTATTAAGACCTAAGACAGGTTAGTGATAGTGACAGGTTACTGTTCCACTCTTTAGAATGGCCAATAGTACTCCAGTAGTACAAAGCGTGAACTTTTTGCGGTGCAGCAGTCCATGTTTTGTACATTCCATCCATGGTAGCTACAGGTTCTATTAGTTGTGGAGGCTGGGTTGTCTTAATATTATATCAGGCGAACTTCTGCTGTCTTTGTTTCAAATGGCGTTTAGGTTATTTAATAATTTGTATGTATTGCTTGTGAAGGCGAAGAGTCACAATAACGTGGCTAAAGTATGTTGACCAAACTACACACTAAAAGGTGAAGGGACAAACGACGTTTCGGTCCGTCCTGGACCATTCTCAAGTCGATTGAGTTGAGAATGAAATGATTGAATGATTGAAATCAACTTGAGAATGGTCCAGGACGGACCGAAACGTCGTCGTCCCTTCACCTTCTAGTGTGTGGTCTGGTCAATATGTATTGCTTCACTATCAAGAGCAAGTGTGTGGAGATGTAATGATACGTGATATCAGAGATAACTACGTTGTATCACAATGCTAATCTTATGATGACACGAGACTTTAAGACCTACTGTTCACAACAACATGTGAAAAGCGCAGGTGTCTTAAAATTTAAGACTTGGTTAAAATAAGTGTATGGAGCTTAGCATTTCAAAAGCACTGCAATCTCCTTCTGTGGTTGATTGTTCAATAAATCTCCGAACTATATGTTTAACAAATCTCTAACCCTGTCCATGGAGGACAGAGAACGTTCAATTCCATCTTGACAGATGGAATTGAACGTGAATAAATGCCATATTATGCAGTGTGGAATACGAAAAAGTAGGCCGCACAGAACCTACATATTATGTGAACAAAGCTTTAAAGAATTCCAATAAAGAAAGATTTAGGTGTGATTCTGGATAGAAAACTGTCGCGTGAGGACCGCGTAAAGAACATCGTAAAAGGAGCCCTATGTTACGCTTTCCAACTTTACAGTTGCTTTCAAATACATCAATGGCAGAATATTAAAGAAATTGTTCAGGACCTTTATGAGACCAACATTGGAATATGTAGAGGTTGCAAGGTGCCCACATCTCAAGAAACACATCTATAAGCTGGAAAAGTACACAGACATACAGTTACATGTCTTCCGGAACTGAGAAACAAGAGCTACGAGGATTTGATTGATTGATGAAGATTAAGCCACCACGGGCCACCACCATTAAGGTGACACGGGCATGAATAACCCGGAAGAGCTACGAGGAGAGGCTAGAGGTGTTAAATATATCAAAGTTAGAAGATAGAAGAAAAAGAGGCGAGATAAATACTACGTACAAAATACCTAACTAACATGTCAATGGATATATGAAAAGTTGTAAGAGTGATGGTGACATCCTGCCCATGGGCCTGCCTGTCATACTTTCAGTATACCTCTCTCGAGTGGTTGCATTCTCTTTGACACACATTTACCTACTAATTCTTATTCTAGTTTGTTATGAAATTAAGTCATTTCGTTAAACAAATCCCATCAAGTGCTTCATCTATCACATAGTCGTGGCTTTAGGCCGGGCTGGGAGAGCAGACAAACCCACATCCCGCCACAGTTAAATCACAAGCAAAGCTACACAAAACTTGAGCTGATTTAACAACACTGGTAACATTCTTTAAGAGCAAACACCCCCACTCCTCACGATGGCAACAGTATCTGAAAACCACTGGGGGCGGGGGGTAGGTGTCATCATGTTTTGTACGTGACTTTTTCTTTTATTGGGAGACATCTCATTGTGGCTTTGATCAGATGGTTTCTCACGCTTATACGACATCTTCTAGAGGCAA